GAATGAATGCTGAATGAATAAATAATATGTCCTTTGAAGTACATGTACATAACATCTTGAATTATGACTACCCCTTCTTTATTGCCGTATAACATGGGGAAATTGGGGAGCTGATGTCCACACATCTTAAAATTTGAGTAACGCTGGCCTATTAGCTATGGCATATCCTTGTTAGCATCATGATAACACTGGATAGCCACTTCAACATATGCTAGAATGAAAAATTTTATGCCAGCCATTTCACTGTTGAGTGATTCTTAATATCAGTCAAATACAGAAGGGTGTGAAATGCCATTATTCTCTTTTTTCTATTTCAGAAGAATATATTCACTGGGGATGAAAATAAAATGAGCAGGAAAAGTCGCTTACAAGGAAAAGCACTAAATTGCTACTGTATTTTCTCTTAAATTGTTGCTTCTTAACTTTATACCATCCTCTTTAAAAACATTTCTCACTAAACAAAAGCCGCTGTCTTTTTTTTTTTTAAATGACTTGATGTCTTACATTTGGTTTTTCTTCAGCTGCCTCACCAAAGACATAAGACATTTGTTTACTTCTATTAACTGGCGGGAAAAAAATTCCTTTTACTGTTTTATAGCCTGAACTGATTTGCTGCCAAATCTGCAGTTATTCAGAGAATTGAAAACTATTGCTACTAAAAATTCAGCTTTTCTCTTAAATATAAAAATTGCCTGGCCGAAGAACACAGAGATTTTTCAGTTCTCATATTTTAGATACAAACTTAGAATATTGCTTAACGCACTGTAAGCCGCCCTGAGTCTCCGGAGAAGGGCGGCATATAAATCAAATTAAAAAAAAAAAAAAATATTTGTTTAATTGAATGGATAAAGTTAATGTGCAGCTCCTCCAAATTCTAAAGTGAGGTCTTTCATATTTTCTCAGTCTTATCATTCAAACTTATTCCATCCTACGGAAGTTCATGGAAACACTTATCTTTCCAAATGTTTTATATAATTTCCTGGTCTATTAGAGTTCTAATACAGACTTATATTTCCTAAACCAAGCTATTTCTATACGTTCTATAATTTTATTTTCCTTACCTGGCCAAGGTTTAAACAGCTTCTCCTGTTTTGTTTTCACATGCTTTTTAACATATATATATTTTTATTGGTTTCCAAAAACTAAATTGGAATATGGGGTTCTAGAGTTCATTCAGCTTTTATTCTTTGTTATAAACTACTACATGATTATTAGGGAAATTTATAGACATAGGTATCTTAACTTTCATTTGAAGTTTGTTTAATGCTAGGAACTGCATCCTAAATTTTGTCAGTTTCCCTAACTCCATTAAAATAGTAACACTTCTGATAAAATAACATAATTAATATTAAAAATTGGTTATTGTTGGAACAGGATTTTTATCTTTTACCCGTAACTGTTTAATGTACTTCTTACAAAGCTGATAAAGAATGATCACAAATTCCTTATGGCATTCTAGTAACATTTTATTAAAATGTTATTGTATACAGTACTTATTCCCATTTAGTACATTTACTATCATAGTTATACTGATGTAAATGCTGTGTTAATGTTGATGATCTTTGAGTAATTCTAGGATTCTTTCAGAGCCCCCTTTGATGACTGCTGAAAAGAATGTCCTTGCTAAATTTCTGACTTGTGTTCAATTGCACAAGCGATTAAGAAATTGAAATGAAACACTGGCCAAAGTTTTCAAGAAAACTCTAATTCTTAAATCTGAATATGTTTTAAATCAGTTTTCAGAAGCACATTGGAATTGTGGAACAGCCTTTCAAGTTAAGCTCCCCTAATGCTATCATTATGGTATCATCAGTTCCATTTGAAGATCTCTTTACTTGTCATAGCTAATTATGTGCAAAACAAAAGTGTTTAATATTTCATTTTTCCTTTAAAATCACCAGGTCTGAGTTTTCCACTGATGGCTAAAGTACAAGCCAGAACAGGAAGTTAGAATATTAGAGAATTATGGTGAATTTGATAAAAGAAAAAGCAAAGCCATGTCATTTGTAGTGCATAAAGAATTTTCAAACAGAACTAAGGTAAAGGTTCCCCTCACAAATATGTGGTAGTTGTTTCCAACTCTAGGGGGTGGTGCTCATCTCTGTTTCAAAGCCGAAGAGCCAGCGCTGTCCGAAGACATCTCCATGGTCATGTGGCCGGTATGACTAAATGCCAAAGGCACACGGAATGCTGTTACCTTCCCACTAAAGGTGGTTCCTATTTTTCTACTTGCATTTTTATGTGCTTTCGAATTGCTAGTTTGGCAGATGTCAGGACAAGTAACGGGAGTTCACCTCATTACGCGGCACTAGGGATTTGAGCCGCTGAACTGCCAACCTTTCAATTGACAAGCTCAGCGTCTCAGCCCCTGAGCCACCGCGTCCCTTCTTAAACAGAACTAACTGCTTCCAAAGCCGCCTACATTTTTGTATTACATAATAAGCTGAAATACTAAGAATTCTACATAATTCAATTTCACTCAGATGAAAAATGAACAGAAAATGAAGGTTTTAGCCTCTTCTTTACTGTGAAAAGAGCGGTGGCTCAGTGGGTAAGATGCTCAGCTTGTCTATCGAAAGGTTGGCAGTTCAGTGGTTCAAATCCCTAGTGCTGCGTAATGGGGTGAGCTCCCATTAATTTTCCCAGCTTTTGCCAACCTAGCAGTTTGAAAGCATGTAAAAAATGCAAGTAGAAAAATAGGGACTACCTTTGGTGGGAAGGTAACAGCGTTCCGTGCGCCTTTGGCGTTTAGTCATGCCGACCACATGATCATGGAGATGTCTTCGGACAGCGCTGGCTCTTTGGCTTTGAAACTGAGGTAACTACTGCCCCCTAGGGGACTACCACCCCCTAGAGTTGGGAACGACTAGCACATATGTGCGAGGGGAACCTTTTACCTTACTGTGAAAAGCAGCTCAGCTTTTCTAAACATCTATCTTTTCTCTGGCTTCTTAGGTTTCACCTATACAGCCTTCTTGTTCCACTTGGAGACTGCTTGTTCTTGAGGTGATGTCCTCATAATGGAGCCACCATCATTTTGCTGGCCTACCGATGAGGTAAACAGAAACATGGTGTACCAGTGAAAAGTTGGCAGTTTCCCCATAAGAGTAAAAAGACCCATTTCATATGACTTGGAGGAAAATTCTTCAAAGAGTTAGCAACTTGCTGGATTCTAATTGACTTGGTCTATGTTCTGCAGATTTCTGTGCTGCATACCCCTATAGCTATTTACTCCTTTGTTGTATGCTTTAGTCAAGAGAATATCAACCTTGTGAAAAATCAAATGCAGATCTTCCATGAGATTGTTTTTCCCATCTCTATCCAAATTGTAAAGAAACAAAATTTGGTGAAATTGGCACCAAGCATGGTGCTTGCCTAGGGCCACTTCAATGGAAGGAAAGCAAATTGAGGAGACTTTGTTGATGAATCCTTAGTTACTTTCTTAACATAGGCAATGGCTAAGAAATGAACACTATAAAATCTGCCTGCTGTTACTCGGGTCTCTTTCTTTGCCTGTGTCATGCTGCTATATAAGTAAATCTATGGGTAATAAAGAAGTTATGGAATTCCCAGTTATTGAACTGAAAGACAGATCCTGTTAAAAAGGAATTATCAATGGGATATTCATGCAATGATCCCAATGATCTTGAGAAAGGACACTTTAATTTCCCTGAGTGTTTCAGAGTAGCCTTCACCAACAAGGTAGCCATATCTGTAGACGTCAGTTCAGGGAAGCGATAGGAGTGGAAGGTTAATATTGTTGGAGGACATCAAGCAGATGCAGGCTACCCCAGAGAGGTCATGTTCATGTCCTTGGAACAATATAAAAATTAACAAGCAGTGCTTCTGAAACCACTCATAATGTTTCCCCTTATATTATGGGCACAAAAACTCCACTGAGTATTTATGTATATGACTATATGTGTGTGTTAGATAATGTAGGAGCACTATAGATTACATCTATAGATTACATTGCCAGGAGAAAAAAGGAGTTTAGAACGAAGTCATAAATAACATTCTGAGCCACTTCTCCATAAGGATATATTGGGGAAAAGTTTCCTGGATTTTGTCCTTCTGCTGCCTCAGCTACATCCATATCATTTTCAAACTAGATCTTTCTCATTTGGATTAATTATTGGACTTTCTCTCTGAGCACACAAAAAACAAATTCTTCCCATCCTGTCTAGTTTTCAGACAGTCATTTTGTTGTGGACATATATCAGGTTAAATATTAGAAAAAGCTCATTAATCAGCCCTCTTATGCACACTAAAAGGCCAATTCATAAGCCAACCTGGTTGCATCTGCTATACAGGAGATGCTCTTTATTTCCTAGAAGAAATGATGTCTCTGAAAATGTCCACCTCTGAGACACTGCAGATTCCTAAAGAATATGTCAGATGTGAGACGTATTTCTAAAGAAATAGGAATATACACTCTGTCAGAAGGCACCCCATCTTTGTAACCTCCACATGTAGAATTTGCCAAGGTGTGAATCAATTAAATTCAGAAAAAAGATTTTTAAAAAATTGTGCACAGGCAGAGACACACACTTTGGGATGGATGTAGAGGAAGAGAAGTTCTTTAGATTTCATGTTGGTGTTCCGCTGGATAAAAACCTATGTGCAAATTGGCGTTTGGACAAGTAGTGACCCAACCAAACTATCTACATTGGAAATAAAGTTTTCCATCAAATATCTAACTGTATGGTACTTGACTTCATTGCCATTCATTTGTTTTCTCTTGTTCTTCCTGTTGCTCTTATGCTATTGATGGAAAGGTCTAGTCTTAATGTTTTGTTACTGAGCTATAGAATGGAGCTCTTGGGGAAAGCTTGAGCAGGAAAAAAAATGGCTTGCTGGGGGAAAAAAATAGATAATTGTCTTTCCTTGGCAAGGTCAAGGTGCCTCTCTTATATCAAATTGGATCACCTCGAAATAATGACTATCAGTGGTTTATTAAAATGTGTGCATACACAGTAGGGTTTTTTTTTTTTTTTAGTCTAGATACAACAGATAACTGTGACAGATGTTTCCTTGAATAGTGGGAGGAGACAATTTGCTTTCAGTGTTTTTTAGGCTGGAAATTCGTTGCTGAGCTTATTCCTCTGAAAGAAAGAGAAAGAGAAAGAGCTACCAGAAAGAGGCTCATCCTGAAAAGTAAAAGGTGAGTAGATAGACAAACTTAACGCATTTCTGGTTGACTGGTTGTTTAGAAGTTTGGACTTGCTTCACTTAGGAAAAGAAATTTCTCCTGGTACAATAATATGACTGCTAAAAATCTAGCTTTTGTTTTGTTCTTCAATTTCATCTATTTTTTTTTCTTTTGACAGAAGTTTAAGTAAGTATATCGATGTTGTTTGCTTGATTTTCAGATTTCAACAAATTCTGCTCCCTGTAAGGAAGAATTATGTTTCCCGAAGAAGTCTCATTTCTCTGCCAGTTTTGTTTGCTTTAGGTCATTATTCCTCATAAAAGCCAGAGTTTATTTTTAATGTTTCTTCTCCCTCTTCTCATTTAGATTGCTGCATTTCATCTTCCTATAGAAGATAGTGCTCAGAAAAATGACTTCAACTACGAAATATTGGAACGCATTTGGCTTTTTCTTCATTGTTCTCAATTATAATGTGACCATTGTAGGTAAGTATTTAGAAATTTGCATTTGGGATTTAATTGTTTTCATTTTGGGAAACTTCATTCAACATTATGGGAAGGGTTTGAGACCAGACGATCACCCTGAAACGAAATGTCCAGGAACAAAATGAATCAGAATTTGCACACGTTTCCCCAAAAATGGGATCATAAATAACTGGTGTGGAAGTGAAGCGCCAAAAATTTTTGAGCCAAACTTTTATAGCGAAAGAAAATGAGTGAATTAGTCTTGCGGGACAAACTAATATTATTCTGTTAAATACTAATTAGACACAAATACAAATGAATATGATCAGAACGCTTCCTAAGGCACTTAATAATCAACAATTTCCCCCTGAAATAGTATATAATTAATAGATTTAGTTTTGGCATGAGCAATGGAAGAAAAAAAATTGGAAGACTCGGGCAAAAGGAAGACACATCCATCTTTGTGTCCTTGTCCAGCAGGGATAGCCTTAAAATCAAGCATTGTCCAGCGATCTTAAAAAATGAAACTGTTTTCACAAAAGCAGTCATTGAAATGTTCAGGTATTGCTGCTTTATATATTGCCTGCTTTTTTCTTTCCCTTGCCTATTGGCAGACGCAATAGTTTAGATTTACATTATTTAACTTATTTCCCGATTCGATCCCCTTTAAATCTATGATCACTGTAACAGATAAATCACATCAGTCATATGATTTATGGCAAAGCTCAAAAAGCACATTGTCAATACTCAGCACATTGTACTCAGCATTTATTCCTGCAAATTAAGATTTGCTGGAATAATACTAAGATTGAAAAAAAAGAAACTTTCTAACAATATACTTACAATATTTACAATATACCATTTGATATTGAAGAAAAAGCGGGAAAAGCTTGGATTTTATGTTCCTGTGGGAAACAGTGAAAACATAAAATATGCATAATGACCATTGAGGATATAGCTTCTTTTGAATTGGGCTTAATTCCTGGCAACTTTATAAACACATCCATGGAAAACAGAAGGAATCTATTCTTCTGATATTTATGCTTACTACCCAGTCTAATCTATAAACTTAGAATTTCCTTTGTGTCTCCCATCCAAGTACAAATCCAGTCTAACCCTGCTTAGCTTCTGAGCCCAGAAGGTCTGCCAGACTGAACTCTGGATATAATTTTTGTCCTTCTTTGATACAAAATTTGAATCTGGGACATGTAGTGAAATGAATTAATGAAAGATTTTGAAAAGATGGACGGGAGTACTTGATATATGAGATATATGAGGCAAGGACAACCAGGTTTATAAATGACTTGAAAACCAAATCCTATAAGAAAATAGTTGAAGCCGGTTGAATGTGTTCAGTTAGAAAACAGAATAGTAAATGAACATATAATATAGCAATATTTGAAGATTAACTGAAAGGAATTTACATCCTATTACTCTGATAAATGGGACTGGAACACTGGGTGGAAATAGCAATGAATTTTGAGTGCAGCTAAACATTAAAAGAAATTCCCTAATAATGTAAGCAGTTAAATCAACAGATTACTTCAGAAGAATATGCTTTATTTTCTTGGTGGTATTTGAAGCTGCTAGGCAACTATTTCTCATATTAGACCCATCAGCTAACATGTGGAGAGTCCACAAGCTGTTCAGCATGCTAGCCATTTTACTTAAAAGGTTTGAAAAAGGGACTAGATGTATGCATTGAAGATCAAATTATTTATTGAATTAATTTATGTAGCTTCCATTTTATAGACTTGGGAATTTTATATTCCCAAGTGGGCCAAAATGTATGATGTTATGCGCTGTGAAAAAAGAGACTCATTTTTATGAGCATCCTCTGAATGAAATTTGACTATTTCTACAGTTTACATTAATGCAATTGATTAGCAGTGTATGTAATCCTTTCATGCATAGGATTAAAGTATGATTACTGTTAGAAATTATTATCAACCAGACTAGTCAATGTTCAGATTTTAGTGATTGGTTGGACCTTTTTCATTGGTTTCATCTTGCCCTATTTTCTTTCTTTGCAGGAAAGATTTGGTTAAGCTACATGGCCCTGATGAGACTGATGGTGATCTTGTTTGGAGCATACCCTGTCTATGACGATGAATTGACCGCTCTCGTGTGCAACACTGAAGAGTCAGGATGCTCAAGCATGTGCTATGATGCTATCATTACAATCTCTCAAGTTCGCTTCTGGTTCTTTGAGTTTGTGTCTGTTCTGATCCCTATTGCAGTGTTTGTTATGTGTATCTTGCATAGTGTGGTCAAGCAAGTGGTGAAGATCTATTCTTACCCTTGCACTTATTGCAAACAGACCAAAATATCCACTATCTTCAGAGGTGCAGAAACAATCTTCAATGATGCTGAAAAGAGCAGAATCTCATGTGCTGCCCATGAATTGGCAATTCCTGATTTCTCACGGGGCTATGCAATTCAGCTCTTTGTGAGGTTAATGATAGAAGTTGGTTTCAGAATTAGCAGTTATTGTTTGTTTGGTTTCTTTGTTGAGAAATTCTACAATTGTATTGAGGAACCTTGCCCAGGTAAAATAACCTGCTATATACCCAGGTCATCTGAAAAATCTGCCATGATTATCTTGCTGTGGATTGTCAGTGGTTTCTCCTTAACTCTTGGCCTGGTTGACCTGTTTGTGGCTATAAAAGGTTGCAGGAATAAACGGCGTGATGCCAGCACAGCGGAGATATGCAGGAGCCGCGTGCACAGAGAACCAAGACCAAGAGGAGATGTGTTCAGCCTGGGAAACATCGCCATTGCTGAAGATTTTAGCAATCTTCCCAAGAAAACCTACAAAAAGGAACGTCACCCTGCAAAAGATTTCAGTTGCTAAAATCTTAAATCTGCATTGAGCTGAGAAAACCATGCATGCATTATCCTTTCATTTACAAACCATATATATCTTTTTGGAGCATTTAACTCTTTTATTAACATGCACACATATATGTATGAGTGTATGGGTATTTATATCTTCATCTATATCTACATATAAAACATTACAATTTAGATTTAATTCTCAGCTCAGGTTTGAAATCTTTATTGCAGAACAAATACTGTGATGCAACCTGCAGACAGATTAAATTGCTTTTTGCTTATCATACTTTTATTTTTATTAACATGCACATACATAAACATGTATGTGTCTCAATATCCATATCCATATTACATATAAAACATTACAACAATGACTTCAATATTAAGCAACTAGCTCAAAGTTAGGAGCTTTTATTAGGCAATAAATATCTGGTAGGGTTTTTTAAATTATTGTTGTAATACTCTCTTAACATCGGTATCATAAACTGTAATCCACACTGTACAACTGCTTTATTCTTTTTGTTATCTCTAATGCTCAAAGTTATCTAAACAGTAGAACATCATTAATATCAATCAATCCTGTACTAATATCATTGTATCACGTCAATATAATGTATTACCATTTACACACAAAAAAACAATAAAACGTGCAAAATTTTTCGGAGTGTCTTTTTCTCTAGGGAAAAACAAAAGAGAGGGTTGGGTGAAGACAGTGATCAAGGAGTCTTCCTCAAGGACAACTTATGTTATTATTTGCCAGCACTTTCAGATGCTTTGTTTAAGAAGATTTGGCTATCCAGTAGAGGTATTGGATTTTTGGAAAAGCTCACAAAAGTAGAGAGGTGAATAAAAGAAGTCTTGTCTTCCCATGGGCAATGAAAAGGAAAAGTTTAGGTGAGGAACCTAATTGCATCTATCATGCTTAACCTGTGATTGTGCTATAGGTCCAAAAATTTAGACATCTAAATTAGACAAAAGCTTTCACACAGATATCTTCAAACAGTTCTATCGTAGGGTGGGGGGGATCTGCATTTGAAGGGAAATGTAACAAATGACTTTTGACACACACAACTATTCCTGGAAAGATTTTCAGTAGTTGGTTTTGTGCATGTCTGGGCTAATAAAAACTAAACAGAGGTTTCTGAGCATCATGATTTACAAACACTGGTCTAAAACTCATAAAAATATTGGTCAGATTAATTACAAAGAATTCATTATAAGTCCATAAATTGGTAAGCGTCATGTGAGAGTTTTACCATTGGCAAAATAGCTATTTTTAAAAAGGGAAATGATAGTCCTTCATTTGCCTTCATTAAATCGTTAAAATACATGCACGTATGAAATATGGAATATAAATATTTCAAATATATCTTAATCTTGGGGACAAAAAACCCCACAATTTTCCCACCACATTTTTCATCTTTAGAAAGTAGACGTTTCTGGTCATTCTCCCCAAGAATGGCCAGGGAAATAAAGGTGTGATTCAGCTGGACACCATAACAGAGGTGAAAAGGAACTCACTGGAGTTTTAAATAATGAACATCATAATGATTTACTCAACCATGTTCCAATATTCTGCATGCTATTTAGTATGGCTTTATAAATGGAGTACTTAATATTTCAACCTTATTTAAACCAAATAAATATACTTTACTTCTTCTGTCATTGGGTCAACCCCGTGCAAAATTTTCCTTCTCATCTCCATCTCCCATACTCTTAGTTTCAGTTCAGTAAACCTGGTTCCATTTCATATCACTATTGAAAACTGTATTAAAGGGTCATGGTATTAGGAAGGTTGAGAACCACTGCTCTAGAAGAATCGGAAAAGCTTGCTGGTTGAAAAAAATGAAGATCCAGGACAGCTGCAGTGCGAGAAATAGTTCAGAATTCACTAAAACTCAGAATTAATTAGAAGTCAAACACCAGCCTTTCAGTGACAATATGAATCGGAATACAACTCAGTAATGAGTTCCCGTAACAAAATTTACCAAAGCAGCCAGCAAAGCACAGCTAGCAGCCCTCTCAGTGTTTCAGAGAATTTTGCAGCCTGTATGCAAGGATCTTTTCAACACTAAAAGTTCAACTGCATTCCTGGTTCCAACCCTTAATAAGGGCTGGAAACTTCACAGTGCCTCAGTTTTCAGCTTTCTCTCCTTTTAAATTTTTAATTGCCATGAAAGCTGAACAATGTACTGGATACTACTAGATATTGACACATCTAACAGAACAGAGGCATATTTGAGGAAGGGAACAATCAAAACATCTTATGCGATTGCAGTCCTGTCCTTTTGGATGCAGAGATGGGTTCTGTTCATATTACATATATGTAACTTTTAGTTAGGTGGTCATAGCTGTCTTTTCACATATGCGCACACACACACACACACACAATGTGTGCGCGCGCGCACACACACAGGATATTAACAAAGCCCAGCATTTTATATGTTTGCCCCTTCAGCTCAGTGTTTGCATTTTCCTGTTTTGCTGAACAACTGGTGTGACTCAGTTAGCAATTGAGGCAAGAAAGGCCGTAAAATAGGGCAAAACTTATTTAATAGCTGCCTCCTCACTGATTAACTGTGCTCACAAGTCAAGGACTACCTGTACAATGTTCAGGCTTTGATTAGGGGCCACAGCTATCTTCTTCCTTCTCTCCCTCCCTCCCTCCCTCTCACACACACACACAGGATATTAACGGAGCTCAGCCTTTTATATATTTGCCCCTTCAGTTCAGTGTTTGCATTTTCCTGTTTTGCAGAACAACAGCAAAAATACAGCAAGGAAAAGTTCGAGTAGAAGAGCACATTATATGCAATCATACAATAAGAGAGTTGGAAGGGACCTTGGAGGTCTTCTAGTCCAACCTCCTACTCGAGCAGGAGAGCCTATATCATTCTGGACAAATGGTTGTCCAGTCTCTTATATTGATAAGCTCAGTAAAGGAGCATACATTTCTTCCAGTGGTAAGCCATTCCAATTCCATTTATTAATTGTTCTTACTATCAGGAAATTTCTCCTTAATTCTAAAATGGAATTAAGGAACCTGTCCTTAATAATCTTCCATCTGTTTGTTCTTGTCCTGTCCTCAGGTGCTTTGGAGAATAGCTGATCCCCACTTCTCTATGATGGTCCCTCAACTGCTGAAAAACTGCTATTGTGTCATTCTCCATCTTTCTCTCGGATAGATTGAATGTACTCTCTGATAGACTGAATTCTCACATTATGGTGTAGAAATACTCATGTTGCATCCTTAAATCCTTGTTGGTCTCCCTTGCAAGTAGTGAGGTATCAAAACACTGCTCTTCCTGCCCAGTAATTGTGAGAGGGACTTTGGAATCCTAGTGGATGATCACTTGAATATGAGCCAGCAATGTGCAGCAGCAGCCAAAAAAGCTAATACAATCCTGGGTAGGTTGTATAAACAGAGGCATAGTATCAAGATCACATGAGGTATTAGTATTAGTAAGATCACACCTGGAATACTGCAACCAATTTTGGTCACCATGCTACAGAAAAGATGTTGAGATCTTGGAAAAATTTCATAGAAGAGCAACTAAAATGATCAAAGGCCTGGAGACTAAAACCTGTGAAGAATGGCTGCAGGATTTGGGTTCATTTCATAATAAATATAATTTCGTGGGCCAAATTTTATATATTTATTTTTAAATTGTTCTTAAATTTTGTGGTTTAAATGTGTTTTTATATGGCTGTACACCGCCCTGACTCCTTTGGGAGAAGGGCGGTATAGAAGTTCAATAAAATCTAAATCTAAATCTAAAACACTGCTATCATGTCTTCCCTGGTCCTTCTCTTCAGCCATGCCTAGTTCCTGCAACCATTCTTCATATGTTTTAGTCTCCAGTCCCCTAATCATCCTGGTTACTCTTCTCTGCACTTTTTCTAGAGTCTCAACATCTTTTTTATAGGGTGGTGACAAAAACTGGATGCAGTATTCCAAGTGTGGCCTTACTAAGGCCTTATAGAATGGGATTAGTACCTCACTTGTTCTTGATTGTATCCCTCTGTTAATGCAATTTAGGATTGCCTTGGCTTTTTTGGCTGCCGCTGCACACTGCTGGCTCATATTTAGCTGATTGTCCACTAAGACTCCAAGCTCCCTCTCACAGTTACTGCTATTAAGTCTGGTTTCACTCAGTTATATGTGTACTTTTGGTTTTTCTTGCATAAATGTAAGACTTTACTTTTCTCTACATTGAATTTCATTTTGTCAGATAGGGCCCAGTGTTCAAGTCTATCAAGATCCATCTGGATCTTGAGGCTATTTTCTAAGGTGTTAGCTATTTCTGCCAGTTTAGTATCATCTGCAAATTTGGTAAATTCCCCTTCTATTCCCTCATCTAAGTTGTTTATGAAGTTATTGAAGAGTATTGGGCCTAAGACAGAACCTTGTGTTATCCCACTGCTTCCTTCCCTCTATGTAGACTTAGATCCATTAAAGACTACTCGTTGAATACAGTTTGTCAGCCAGTTGTGACAATAGATATCGAGTGGTAATGCTATCTATCCCACTTTTTTCTAGCTTAGCAAGAAGTAGGTTGTGGTCTACTTTGTCAAATGCCTTGCTGAAGTTTAAGTATATTATGTCCACAGTATTTTGCTGGTCTACTAACTTAGTCACTATGTTGAAAAAGAAATAAGATTGGTTTGGCATGATCTGTTTTTAACAAACCTGTGCTGACTGCTAGTTATTACTTTACTTGTTTCTAGATATTGGCAATCTGTTTTTTTATTATCTTTTCCAGTATCTTCCCAGGTATTGATGTTAGGCTGATTGTTCTGTAGTTTCCTGGGTCTGTTTTTTTTTTTTTTAAAGATGGGAACCACATCAGCTTTTTTCCAGTCCTGTGATGGTTCCCCGGTGCTCCAGGATTTTTGAAAGATGTGGTGCAGTGGTTCTGAGATGACATCTGCCAGCTCCTTTAGAACTCTGGGATGTAATCCATCAGGTCCTGTTAATTTGTATTCATCAAGATCAGACAGGTGTTCTCTTACTTTTTTTTTTTTTTTGCTTATTTTAACTTTTATTTCTAGTCTGTCTTTTACACAGACAAGGTTCCTTCCAGCTCTATTCAATTCTAAATATTCTGGGTGAAACTCTTGATTTTAATTTTTTTTGTATTGTTCCAGAGGAATATTTCATTGTGGGAAATTAAAGTTGACAGTCCATCCAATTAAAGAAACAGTAATCATGCGTTATTCTGGGATATCCACATCATTAACATAAAAAAAAATGGCTGGAGTTTTAATTACACTATTGTCACTGCCATCTTGACTCTTTTGACCATATCTCTGTTGTAACCCCTCCAATTCACCAGAGAAAAAAACAGATTTATTTGCCGAGGAAAGGAGACCTGAAAACAATTTTCGCAGGCACTTGACCTACAACAAGCTGACCCAAATTTAATGTCTCTTACTCACGCCCTACTTCTACTGCCCTATTGAAGGCTGCATGGTGGCAACTGAAGCCTAAAGACATACAGAATGAAGGAGTCAAAATATTTCTGTATATTGCAAGGAAAAATCCATCAGCAGATTATGCTGCATTTGTTCGTTACCCTCATCTTGAGAATACTTTTATTTTTCATTTGGAATACTGGTACCTCTGCAAGTGAACTTTTATTAAATACTTAGCTTTGTACTCAAGAACAGTTGAGACCACCCTGAGCAATCTTATCTCTTTGGGGTGGGCCGACTGAATTTGAATGAGCAAAAAGGTTGTTTTCATATTTTAAACATCCTTGAAATAACTGTGGCCTTCATATTTAAAGATAAATATGCTTCCCCAAATGCTAGCCTTCATAGGCAATTCCCTCGCCCCCTGTCCCAATATCCTTGCTCCTAGTTTTAATAGTTCTATACACTGTTTTTATGAAAATATGCAGAAGGTAAATTAATAATTTAGGAAATTCTAATGGATTAATTGGAAGTTGAAAGTTAGTCAAAAAAGCACCTTAAGAATGAGTTGGGTTAAATGAGGAGGTGAGGGGAGTTGTGTAACATATAAAAAGGACGAAAAACAAACTAGAATGTAATTATCTATCGAAAACAAGGCTGCAAGTCATTCACATATTCCTTGACTTTAATTTTTTTTCACTCCTTTTCGTTTCTTGCAAGTTTCCCTCTCTTTAATTTCAGTTTGTCTCCTATACTATGGAAAAATTCTTAATAAATATTTTTTAAAAAAGAAAGATAGTCAAAATACATAAAATTCATCTGAGAAGGAAGCAATATCATTCATTGATCTGAAATCAAGATGCTATTGGTTGGAAGCTTAAAAAGAAAAGTGATATCTGGATAAATATTTAGAAAAAGCCCATTAATCAGCCAGAATAAAACTGGATGCAGTACTCTAGGTGTGGTCTTACTAGGGCTTTATAGGATATTCAGATGCGAGACCTATTTCTAAAAAAAAAAAAAAAAAGGAATACACACTCTGTCAGAAGGCACCCCATCTTTGTTACCTCCACATGCAGAATTTGCTGAGATGTGAGTCAATTAAACTCAGAAAAAGATTTTTTAAAAAGTCTGCACAGGCTAAGAGACAAAATTTGGGATGAATGCAGAGGAAAACCTTATGTTGGTGTTCTTCTGGATAAGACCTCTGTGCAAATTGAACAAGGAGACCTCTGTGCCCTCCTGAACAAGCAGGAACCCAAACTATCTACTTTGCAAATCAAATTTTCCATCAAATATCTGCGCTAACCATATGGTACTTGACTCCATTGCCATTCATTTATTTTCTATTGTTCATCCTGTTGCTCTTAGGCTGTTGATGATATGGCCTTGGCCAAGGCACATCTTAAGATTTTGTAACTGAACTGTAGGGAAAGAATAACGGCAGAAACTTAGATGGAGGTCTTGGGAGAACGTTTGAGCAGGAAAAAAAAAAAGGCTTGCAATAAAGAAATAAAAAATCCCCTTTCCCAGGAGAGTTGCCTCCCTATATCAAATTGGATCATCCCCAAATAATGACTATCTATGGTTTATTAAAATTTACATATAGCGCATTTTTTTCTCTCTGAAAACAACAGATAACTATGACATCTGTTTCCTTCCACGGTGGGAGGAACAATTGGCTTTCACTCTTTTCTACTTGTTGCTGAGATTGTCTGCCTCAGAAGGAGCGAGACCTTTTCAGTCACCAGTTCATCCTGAAATTAAAAGTGGAGATAGACAAACCTAAAACCTCTCTGGCTGACTGACTGCAGGTTTCGACTCGCATCGTTTAGGAAGAGAAATTTCTCCAAGTAAGTAATCTGCTAAATGTTTAGCTTTTGTTTCCTTCTTCAATTTCATCAATTTCTTCTTCTTCTTCTTCTTCTTCTTCTTCTTCTTCTTCTTCTTCTTCTTCTTCTTCTTCTTCTTCTTCTTCTTCTTCTTCTTCTTCTTCTTCTTCTTCCTCCTCCTCCTCCTCCTCCTCTCCTCCTCCTCCTCCTCCTCCTCCTCTTCTTCTTCCTCCTCCTCCTCCTCCTCCTCCTTCTTTTTGCAGAAGTTTCTTTAAAAACTGGTCTGAAATTATTGCTGTTTTTTTTTAATTTCCAGATTTTAATAAATTCTGTTTCCTGTAAGGAAGAGTTATATTTCCCAAAGAAATTTCAATTCTCTGCCAGTTTTGTTTTCACTATTCCTCTTAAAAGCCATCTTTAGATTTTTTCCCCTCTTTTTAATGTTTCTTCTCCCTCTTTTCACTTAGATTGCTGCACTTCGTTCTCATTGTAGAAAAAAAAGATTATATGACTACAAATATGAAATACTGGAGTGCTTTTAGCTTTTCCTTCATTGTCTTCAATTCTAATGTGACCATTATAGGTAAGTATTTATATACTTGCATTTTAGAGTTGGGTTTTAATTATTTTCATTCTGGGAAACTTCATTTAATGTTGGGGGGGGGGAGTTGGCTTGAGAAACAGACAACCACCCTGAAATGAAATTTTCAGGAACAAAAACCAACCACAATTTACACACATTTTTTTCCAAAAACGGGCTTATAAATGACTGGTGTGGAAGTGAAGCTGCAAGTGTGTTTGTCTTTTTGAGCAGAACTTTTATTTAATGCCTGCAAAAACAATAGAAAGATTAAATTGGTGAAGACACTTCAGGGCACTAATATTATTTTGTTAGGGGATAATTAAACACAACTAGTTGCAAATAAATATGATCAGAACTAGTGTTTAGCAAGAGCAATGGAAGAGAAAAATTATAAGGCATCAGGCAAAAGGACACCCACCTTTTTGTCCTTGTCCTTGTACAGCAGGGCTAGCCTCAATATCAAATATTGTCCAGCTGTCTTTAAAAAATGAGACTGTTTTCATAACACCACTGAAACCTTCGTGTATTATGACCTTGTATAGTGTCTGCTCCTTTCTCTTGTCCGTTGGCAGACTCAACAATCTAGATTTATATTATTTCACTTATTTCACTATGGTCCCTGGTAAATTCATGACCACTTTAGCCTGGGGATCCCATTAGTCATTCTGTATTTTATGGCAAAGCTTGAAAAAAAACATTGTCAATTCTATATTATACCCCGCATTTGCTCTTGAAATAATTGAGAACGAAAAAACAAAACTTTTTGAAGTTGGAAAAAAATATAGAAGGAATCTATTATGTCTTTCTTTTGGTATTTATCTGTTTACTACCCCGTCTATTCTATAAACTTAGAATTTTCTTGTTCCTCTTTTGTGATGTTATACAATGTGAAATATGCTTTTATGAATATGCCCTGATTAATTTAACTATTTATTCTGTTCTCCAGCTCAGCAATGGAATTGAACAACTCACCATGGGCAATTCACTGCAGCCAACTGACCATGGGACAATTTGCCATGGCCAACAAGTTGTCACAGGACAACTCACTACAGGACAATTTAACAGCACAATTTAATTATTTAAAATTAATTTAAAATTATTTTAATTTTAATTCACATTTCATTTTGTCCCTCCTTTTCATTCTTTCTTTAAAGTTTCTACTCCACCATTTCTTTGATATTAATGTAACACTTTTCCTGCACCGAGTTTGCCAGTGATGAGTTGGCCACATCAAGTTGGCCATGGCGGGTTGGCCTGTGATCAGCTGGTCTTGGTGAGTTGGCTGTAGTAAATTGTCATAGATCCACTCAGCAATGCAATTGATGAGAAGTGTTATCTAATATTATCAAACATAATACGGCTACTGATTAGAAATTATTCTTAACAAGGCTAATCAATGTGCAGGGGTTTTAATGATGGATCAGAAATTTTTTATTTGTCTTATCTCATCCTTCTTCTTTCTTTCCAGGAAAGATTTGGCTAATCTACATGATAATGATGAAACTGATGCTGATAGCGCTTGGGGCGTACCCTCTCTATCAAGATGAATTGGCCGCTTTTGTCTGCAATACCAACCAGCCAGGATGTTCAAGCATGTGCTTCGATGCTTTTACAGCCGTCTCTCAAGTTCGTTTCTGGTTGTTTGAGTTTTTGTCTGTCCTGCTCCCTTTTTCAGTGTTTATCATCTGCATCTTGCACAATGTGGTCAACGAAGTTGTGGACGTCTATGCTCTCCCTTGCACTTATTGCAAACAGATCAAAGCATCCATTGGCCTCAGAGTTACCGAAGCAACCTTCAGCGACCCAACAAAAAGCAAAGTCACTTGCGGGGCGCATGAATTGGCCATCCCTGATTTTTCACGGGCATATTTTGTTCAACTGGTCATGAGAATAATAATAGAAATTGGTTTTGCAATTAGTAGCTACCATTTGTTTGGCTTCTTTGTTGAGAAATTCTATAATTGTACTGAAGAAATTTGTCCAAGCAATATAACCTGCTTTGTCCCTAGAACAACTGAAAAATCTGCCATGATGATTTTACTGTGGGCTGTCAGTACTTTCTCCATATTTCTTGGCATTCTTGATCTGATTATGGTTGTAAAAGATTTTAGAGATAAGCTGTTTGTAACTAGCAAGGCAAAGATATGCAGAACTCGCCAAAGAGGGGGAGGAAGCAGAGATTTGTTCAACTTTGATGACACTGAGGATCCTACAAGTATCCCCATGACAAGATACAGAAAGGAACGGCATTGTGAAAAGGAGTTTGAATTTTAAATCTACTCTTAAGTCTGCATCGAGCTGAGAGAAAACTATGCATGCATTACAAACCATATAACATTTTTCAGCATTTAACTCTTGCATATTTACAAAGGTTCACTATATAGAAAAAAAGGGAGCGTTTTTTCTATATAGAAATAGGTTTTTCCTCTCTTAGACATTCTTCAATCTACTCACCTTAAAGAAGTGTAAACTTCATATTTCTCCAGCCAGCCAGCCTGCCTTTCCCTTCAGACTATTTTTTTTTTTAAAAGAAAATTGTCCCATCCAGGATAGGCAATTGATTTTTTTGGAAAAGCTTACAAAGGTGGAGAGGAAAATAACGAAACCAACTTGACCTTTGAAACCAATACCCTCTCTTGGAGCACTTATATAATTTTTTTAAAATTTAGATAGAATAAGGTAGAATAGTCCCTTCAAGAATTTATGACAAAATAAATGCAACATTTTAAAGAAACGGTTGCCACATAATAATGGGAAAAATTATGGCATTTACATGACAAAACATTAGAAACTTTATAACATAATGAGATATTTGCTTACAGCAACAAAAGTAAGTTTTGCTCAACATTGGAACAAATAAAATTCTGGCCGTATCTAACTAGGAACTTAAACTTGGAGAACATGCAACAATTGCAAAATTAATGGCATATAGACATAAGGGAAGTTTAACCAAATTTTAAAAAAGAATGGCCCCCAAATGTACAATATATGTATGTTGCATTGCAAATACAATCACAGTTTGCCATCTAAGGAGGCTTAAAATCAACAGTTTGGTACATTAGCAGATATGTATAAAGGGGAATGTTAGAAACCCACTTTTTTCCCTTTCCTTCCCCTTTTTTATAATTATTGCATGCTTATGATATATTTTTCCTTATATTAACATGCACTTATATACACATCTCTGTGTGTGCATGTTGATATATCTATAGTTAAAATATTACACTACAGATTTCAATACTCAGCTCAAGTCTGGATATTTTGATATAACCTCCAGACATATTAAATTGCTTTTGCTTTTTATTAACATGCATATATAAATGTGTGTTTTTTATATCCACGCCTATATCTACATATACAACATTACAATACAGACTTCAATACTGAAGTCTGAAACTTTTATTACACAACAAATACTTCGATATAGATGTTTTTGGTTATTGTACTTTTTCTTTTCATTCAGAGGCACATGTATGTGTGTATATGTATGTGTGCTCATATCTATATCACATATAAAACATTACAACGGAGATTTCAATACAAAGCATTGAAGGGTAAGGTTAAGATCTTTATTTCTCAATAAATACTCTGGTAGGGTTTTTTTTTTAAAAAAATCATTATTGTTATACTCCATATGAAAAAGTCAAATTATTATATCCTTGTAATATTATACATTGTAATCCATACTGTACAACTATTTCTTTCTTTTTATTCTGTCTAATGCTCAAAACTGTCTAAACAATAGATTATTTTTAAAGTCAATATAATGTATAACCATTTACAAAAAAAATAATAATAAAACTTGCAAAATGTTTCGGAGTGTCGCTCTCTCTAGGGAAAAACAAAAGAGGGGTTTGGGTGAAGACAGTGATCAAGGAGTCTTCCTGAAGGACAGCTATGATATTATTTGCCAGCACACCTTCAGATGCTTTATTTAAGAAGATTTAAGATTTAAGAGGCATCTGATTTTTGGAAAAGGTCACAAAGGTAAGGAGGTGACTAAAGTAAGTCTTGCTTTCCCTTGGGTAATGAAAAGGAAAAGTTGAGGTGAGGAACCAAGTTGCATCTATCACACTTAGCCTGTGATTCAGGATTCCAAAAGTTTAGGACCTCTAAATCAGTCAAAAGTTTTCACACAGGTATCTTCAAACAATTCTATCATGTGGGGTTGGGGGGGAAATCAGCAGTTGTGGGGAAATGTAACAAGGACATTACAAATGACACATGTCTTTTGACATACACATCTATTCCTAGAGAGATTTGCAATAGTTAGTTTTGTGCATGTCTCGGCTAGTAAAAATTAAACAGAGGTTGCTAAGCATCATGATTTACAAACACTGGTCTAAAACTCATAAACCTAATGGTCAGGTTAATTACATAGAATTAATTATAAGTCCATAAATTGGTAAGTGTTGTGTGAGTGTGCAAAATAGCTATTCTTAAAAAGGGGACTTCGTTTGCATTCATTAAATCATTGGAATATGTGCACCTATGAAATGTGGAATATAAACATTTCAAAAATACTTTAGCCTTGAGAAAAAAGAAAGGAATAACTCCCCACCCCCACACTTTAAATCTTTAAAAGTTTACACGTAACTCAGTCTCTCCAAGAATGACCAGGAAGATAAAGGTACCCATAAGAGTTGTGAAAAGTGTGGTTGAAAGTACTCTGGAATACACTGGAATTTTAATTAATAAACATCTTAATGATATCCTCAGCCAGGTTCAAATTGTCTGCATGCCATTTAGTATTTGCTTTATAAATGGGGTACTTAATATTACAAATTATTTAAATGGTATCAATGGAAATCTTTTTTCTTTTGACATCTCGGTATCATTTACCTCTTTTGTTACTAGAATCAGTATTTTTCTTCTGATCTCCATCTTCTGTACTGAACTGACTTTAGCTCAGTGAATCTGGGTCCTTTTAATTTCATTTCATGTTGCTACTGCAACCCTCTGACAGTAAAAATAGAGCTTGGGAGGGGCGCCCACAGCCCTCATGAGATCTGTTTTAGCTGGCAGAGGCACCATGGGCAAGTCCTTCCATGTTTCCAGGGGAGCCCTATGGGCCAGATCTAAGCACCACGGTCCTATACTATTCTAGACAAATGGGGGTTCAGTCTATTAGATTGACAAGCTACAATAAAGGAGCATACATTTTCTCCAGTGGTAAGCCATTCCATTTATTAATTGTTCTCACTATCAGAAAATTTCTTCTTAATTCTAGGTTTGGATCTGTCCCTAATAATCTTCCAGCTGTTACTATTTGTCATGTTCTCAAGTGCTTTGGAGACTATTATCCTCACAGGTCCTTAGATTTTAATGTTTGCTTTTAGTTTATTTATGTGTTATAGATACATTTTTATGAATGTAAGCCACCAGAATTATCCTGTGGTAAGACGGGCAACCAATACATTTTATAAATAAAATAAATAAATGAATATTATGCGAATGCAACATTTAAAGATGTTAACCCTATTGTGAATGCCATCTTGACTTTTTGGGTCATGCTTCTGCTGTAAGTAACCCCTTCAGTTCACCAAGGGAAAACCAGATTTGCTTGCCAAAGAAAGAAGATCTGAAAACCAGGCAATTTTAGCTGGCATTTGACTTACAACCAGCTGCAAATTTAATGCATCTCTTTCTCCAGCCCTACTTCTACTTCCCTATTGAGAACCAGATGGTGGTAATGGAAGGCAACAGAAATAAAGAATGAGAGTGTCAGAAAAATCTCAGTGCTGATCCTGGGACTCCATCATCTATCATGGATGTGCTGCATTTTGTTCTTAACCACACTTGAGAGGACTTTTAAAAAAAATTTGGAATTCTTGTCATGTCCTTTAGAAAACCTTTATTAAAAACCTAGCTTTTTCTAATTTCACGAAGGACTGAGACCACCCTGTGCTCAATGTTATCTCTTTGCAGTAGGCGGGCTGAGTCTGACTTACTAAAGAAGTTGTTTGCATATTTTAAATGTCCTTGGAAAAGCAGTGGACTTCAGTGCAAAGTCCGTAAAGATAAATATGCTTCCCCAAATGCTAGCCTCTGTGGGCGATTTTCCCTCCTCCCCAATATTATTACCATTAACAATACAGTATAAAATTTCTACATACTGTTAATAGTTAATATATAGATATGTTGAGGTTGAAAGATGTCCAAAATACAAAAAAAAAAAATTGGATTAAATGAGGAGCTGAAGCAGTTTGTGTAATACCTAAGAGATAGGGAAGGTGATAAGATTTTAATTATCCATTGAAAAGAAGGACAGAAGTCATTCACATATTCCTGAAGTTGTTTTCTTTTCCTCTTTATTATTCCTTGCAAGTTCTCCTCTCTCTTTACTTTTACTTATTTCGATTTGTGTTTCATCGTCTGAAGTAATTCTTAATAAACACTAAAAAAAGGAGATAGAATATCTAGTAGTCCGTTATATTTTTTCTGCCAGCAGAGGGCATACTAGGGTTGAGATGGCACTTCCTGCATTCATTTGCACTCCAGCTCAAGTTGATGGGATATTTTATGCCATTATCATGTCTATTCCATCTTTTTCTTTAGCAACACTTGGGAGGACAGAAAGTTATTTAGCAAGGGAAAGGAGTTACCTCTCCCCCTGAAAGAGTTAACAGCAAAATGTACATAACCAGAATTGATAGCAATAGCACTTAGACCAGTGGTGAAATCCAATTTTTTTTATACTGGTTCTGTAGGCATGGCTTGGTAGACGTGGCAGGGGAAGGATACTGCAAAATCTCCATTCCCACCCCACTCCAGGGGAAGGATACTGCAAAATCCCCATTCCTACCCACTCTGGGGCCAACCAGAGGTGGTATTTGCCAGTTCTCTGAAGTACTCAAAATCTCTACTAATGGTTCTCTGAACTGCTCAAAATTTCCGCTACCGGTTCTCCAGAGCCTGCTGGATTTCACCCCTGAGTTAGACTTATATACAATTTCACAATTCTTTACAGCCTTCTAAGCAGTTTACAGAGCCAGCCTATTGCTGGATCTGTAAACAATCTGGGTCCTCATTTTACTGACCTTGGAAGGATGGAAGGCTGAGTCAATCTTGAGCTGGTGAGAATCGAACTGTCAGCAGCCGGCAGTCAGCAGAAGTAGCCTGCAGTATGGTAATCCTCAATGTACGACCACAATGGAGCCCAGAAGTTATGTTGCTAAGTAATAAATTTGTTAAGTGATAATTTTGCCCCGTTTTACGCCTTTTCTTGCCACGTTTGTTAAGTGAATCACTGCAGTTGTTAAATTAGTAACATGGTTGTTAAGTGAATCTGGTTTCCTCATTGACTTCACTTGTCAGAAGGTCGCAAAATGGGACCTTCATATGACCCTGGGACTCTGCAACTGTCATAAATGTGAATTAGTGGTCAAGTATCCGAACATAAATCACGTGACCATGGGGATGCTGCAATGTTCATAAGTGTGAAAAATGGTCATAAGTCACTTTTTTCTGTGCTGTTGTAACTACTGTTGTCACTAAGTGAACTGTTGTAAGTCAAGGACTACCTGCCCTGTATTCTAACCACTGTGCCACCACGGCTCTTGATGCTTTCTTCTTATGTGCAGATGTGCTCCTAAGGTAAATTTGGGATTAATGCATATTAGTCTCCTTTAACCTGCTATCCTCCAAGCATACAACCACAAATCCCATTATTCTGAGCTCCAGCCCTTCTCTGCCTGAATGATGACTACATCCAGAAGGATTAGAGTTAAAGAAAATGGTTGTACAGGTTTCTGTCTCCCCCTGGTGGTGCTTTTTGGACATGGCTACTGTCACAGTTAACACTTTTTGAACTTTGATGTTACATTGCTTTTTCTTTTGGTTCATTGCATAAGCTAATCATCTCCTATTATTTGTTACCACTTGACTCAGAGCCCACTTTTATTTTCAGAGTTGAAGGTAGCATTGCTTCCTCTGATCTTCCCATCAAGCACCCTACAGTATAGCTTGAGCTTGCCCCGTGCTTGGTGTGTTCTTTTCCTGTGGCAGGATTGTCTCGGATCATGTGCAGAGTGCCTTCACTGTTCCATGCCCCATTCCCCAAGGTTCAGACTAGGATTAGGCCTTTCAAATCAACCTCTGCAAATTTTCAGCAGAGAGAAGGAGAGAAGGCAAGGAGGCCACTTTAGCTTTGCCCTTCTTCAGTCCGGCTCCCTCCCACTGTCCTGTGCCATGGTAACTCTTAACACTCCCCCACTTCCCTGCTGCATTCCCACGAGGACTGCTCCCCCCCGTCTCCTTTCAGGAGCCTGCCTGATCTCCCTTCTAAGGCTAGCCGGGCTCTGCTGCCTCCTCTTACCACCCCCCACTCTCCACACCTGTGGCAGCAGAAGTAAAGGGAGGTTGACTGCCCTGGGACTTTGGCAGGATGCCCAGAAAAGGTCTGGCCTGGCGAGGGGAGAGCTGAGACCTTCTGGGTCAGCCAAGCCCTGAGAAGGGCTTGGCTGACCCAGACAGCGGAGGCATCACGGGGGTGGTGTGTGTGTGTGTGAGAGAGAGAGAGGGGGGGGAGGGAAAGAGAGAGGGAGGAAGGGAAAGAGAAAGGGGGAAGAGAGAGAAACAGAGAGTGAAAGAGAGAGGAGGGAGGGAGAGAGGGAGGGAAAGAGAGAGGGAGGGAAAGAGAGAGAGGGAGGGAAAGAGAAAGAGGAGAAAGAGAAACAGAGAGGGGGGAGGGAAAGAGAGAGAGGGAAAGCGAGAGGGAGGGAAAGAGAGAGGGAAGAAGAGAGAGAAACAGAGAGAGAGAAAAAGAGAGGGGGAGGGAAAGAGAGCGGGAGGGAGAGAAAGAGAGAGGGAGGGAAAGAGAGAGGGGGAGGGTATGAGAAAGAGGGGGAAGAGAGAGGCAGAGGGAGAGAAAGAGAAAGAGAGCGTGGGAGGGAAAGAGAGAGGGAGGGAAAGAGAGAGGGGGAAGAGAGAAACAGAGAGAGAGAGAGAAAGAGAGCGTGGGAGGGAAAGAGAGAGGGAGGAAGGGAAAGAGAAAGGGGGAAGAGAGAGAAACAGAGAGTGAAAGAGAGAGGAGGGAGGGAGGGAGGGAAAGAGAGAGGGAGGGGGAGAGAGAGAGGGAGGGAAAGAGAAAGAGGAGAAAGAGAAACAGAGAGAGGGGGGGAGGGAAAGAGAGAGAGGGAAAGCGAGAGGGAGGGAAAGAGAGAGGGAAGAAGAGAGAGAAACAGAGAGAGAGAGAAAAAGAGAGAGAGAGAAAAAGAGAGGGGGAGGGAAAGAGAGAGGGAGGGAGGGAAAGAGAGAGGGAGGAAAGAGAGAGGGGGAGTGTATGAGAAAGAGGGGGTAGAGAGAGGCAGAGAGAGAGAAAGAGAGAGGGAGGGAGAGAAAGAGAGAAATGATATTGCAAAAGTTTTTCTTTTTTATTGTTGCTAAATGTGATATTTCAAAAGCAGAAAAGAATGAAGGCATAAAAGTACATTTATAATGTTTTTATAAAGGTCTAAAGGGATCTAAAATTTACAGTGATTCTACTGAGAAAATGCTGAAATGATAGTTAACTTGGAGGGAGATGAGGCCATCTAGCGGCAACATGATGCCATTTTCAAATACTTGTTTTATAGATGTTACAGATTGTTACAGAACAGTCTTCCCTAACCTCGTTTTCTTCATTGTGGTATGGATCTTCTGATATAGATTTATGAGAACCAAAGTGTAACTTCTGGAGAACACACATACAGAGACAAAGACACACACACACATACACACACACATATAAAAGGGGAGGGAGGGAGGGAGAGAGAGAGAGAGAGAGAGAGAGAGGGAGGGAGGGAGGGAGGGAGGGAGGGAGAGAAAACACTGGCAAAGAATTAAGAACTTTCTGGATTATAAATTGTTTGAGTGTCATTCATCCTGGAGTCAAGATAATATTGATTTGGGAGGATAAAGAAATATATGAACGGTGTTAGTTCATAAAGCTGCTATCTGTAATTTTTATTAAATATACATGGTATGTATGAATTCTTAAATTTTAAAATGCAACCTGCCAATGTTTATACATTCGGTGGAATGTATAACATGTAGATGTGATGTTTTACAAACAGATTAAAGGAAAGCACTGCATTTTTTAAAATCATAAACATGGAGACATTTCCCACGTTCAAGAAAAGCGCATGGCTGCCTTGTTTCTATTTGTAATTGTCCTTACTTAAAAGTAGGATCTTCATTAGTTAAGCCTGTCCTATTGGAATTTAAGGAATATACTCAAGGCCAATAAATGCTGGCAACTGAGCCAAAAATGTCAATAAGCAAATTCTTCATTTAGCAGAATGGGCAACTCTCTTGGGAAGAACATCTGCAGTTTTTGTCTTTCTCTCTCTCTAGCACATTTTTATCAAGAAGTGTCCTTTGAAGTTTGAAGATGAAAAGATGGTAGGCACTCTATTTTAATCTTTAGAGAAGATATATACATTCAAAAATCAGCAAGCTGAAAAGTATAATGAGCTATTCAATATTTGCTACTTGAGGAATGTGAAGTATTAGTTTAACAGTTTTTAATGTGTGTGTGTGTACACTTTTGAGTCAGTATATTGCAACCTACAATGGCCTGGATAAGTGTTTTCTTCGCAAGATTTTTCGGAAGTGGTTTGCCATTGCCTTTGTCTTCCTAGGACTGAAGAAAAAAAAAATCCTGATCCAGTGTCACCCACTGGCTTTGTGCCTCAGGTGGGACTAGAACTCACCATCTCCCAGTTTCTAGCCTGGTACTTTAGCCACTATTCTACACCATCTTGGCCTAATATCAACCAGTACAATGTCAAAATTCTCCTATGATTTTGGAAGTCATTTTACTTATAAAATAGAATTCTTTATTGGCCAAGTGTGATTGGATACACAAGGAATTTGTCTTGGTGCATATGCTCTCAGTGTGCACAAGAGAAAAGATACGTTCATCAAGAATCATTAAGATACAACACTTAATGATAGTCACAGGTTACAAATAAACAATTTTACTTATGTTGCAGACTTAAATGAAGAGTAGGGAACCTGTAGCCCTCCAGATGCTGCTGAACTTCACTTCATAGGAGATCTAGCCATATGGCCACTAGTGAGGGACATTGTGAACTCAGCAACATCTGGAGCACTGAACTCCTCACACTTCTCCTGAAAGACAGACTTCCACAATGTCCTCTATATGAATTGGATCATAATTCATATACCCTTCTGCCAGAATATCTTGGCCCGTTTTACCTGAGATATGGGAGTTGAAGTCAAAGAAGTATGAGGCAGATTGTACTAGATGCAAATCTTTTAATTCACATAAAAACTGTACGTATAAAGCACAGAACTGCTTAATCCCATCGAGATACAAAACCCTCCCTAGAGATTGTGATATAAAATTAATACCAATACAGCTTGCAAACATGGACATTGAGAATCCCTGGTGAGGTTTAGCACCTGGACATAGCAAAATACACCCAGATAATCGCAATAGATTATCTGCTACTAGATACTTGTCATCCTCCTACATTAACAAATGTAGGAAATTCCTCTTGCACAAAAATAAAAGTCCAGACACTTGTTTCTATATGGAGATGCTAAGTATGGTAGTCCCTGAAATTCTCAATCTCTAAGCCAAACATATTTAATACTTCAATCAAAGTAAGTGTATATACTTTTAATTAGTAAAAGGTGGAAAGTGTAGATTGCTTAGAATTGTTAATTTACGTTTTGGCCATTAGGTGGCAGTCACCCCTAACTTTTCAAAATGCCTTTTCCCACAATCAGTATGCATATTGCCCATATACTGGATTTTTAAAAAAGAGTTATCTGCTTTAACTATTATTTGAACCTTCTGTTCCTAATGAACCAGCCCAATTTCTTTCGAGCAACCATTTTTGGAAGATATTAATTTTATTACTTTATTATCAGTAATTTATTACACTTTTATGATAATTCTTCCTGTTTCATTTGCATCATTTCTCTACAATGAAGAAAAAGTATAAACATAACATAAACATAACATAAACAAACATAAACACAACAGCCATCCTAAGAACCACATTTGTGAACTTTTCAGGATTTGTCCAAAAATGTTATTTTCTAGGATCTGTGCCTCTTATGCAATTCTACATTGTGCACTAAAAATATTGAAAATAATTTTTGGCAAAGTAGTTCTAATTTGCTGTAAAACATATCCTCTAGGGCTAATTATTCTCTTGACAAGTCAAAACAGCCTCTCCTCCATCTGACTTGTCTTTTGCTGATTCTGCGGATTTTATTGGAGCAGGTTTTGTCCGGCTTCAACAGCTGAAATCACAAAAGAGATAAAAGGAAACAAACACAATAAGTCATCTTGAAAAGCAGAGAAAGAGGAAGTTAACTTCCCACTTGAGTTCTCCTGCAGTACTGCAGTTTTTTTTAAAAGAAAATATTTGTGTGCATGTGTGTGTGACAAAAAATAATAATTCACAATTTCAAAGCTCCTTAGGTTTATTTCATTCAGGTTCTAAAGGAGGAAAAGGAAGAGAAGGGCCATCCTTAGTTGTCAACTCTCAATACATTAATGGATATATGTCATTTCTTAGCAATAATTATAATTATTTACTTCCCATTTGTTTATTCAATTTTTATGGCCACCTGTCTCAAACAATGAATCTAGGCAGCTTTTTAATCTGATCCTTGATATAGAAATATCAAGCCCCACTCTGCTTATCTTTAAACAGTAAAACTGGCCATCTCTTGATATTAAGAGCACTAGAATTACCCCCTTCACTGATAGCCTAATTTAGAGTAGAGATGGAGAAATGCTAGCTTCCAGAATTTATACAGATTTAAATGCCAACACTCCCTCATCATTGGCATGATGGCTAAGAGTCATGGGAAACAGTTGCAGAAGTTTCTGAAGTTCAGTAGGCGTCTTGAGATTGGCAAATTCCCCTTCCCTGCAATCTCTACTGCTCCATATACCCATTTATCCAATTTCTGATTCTACCACTAAGCAAACTGGCAGCCCAGGTCCTGACGAGCTAACAACAAAGGTCTGCTTGTGTCTGTAAGCTGCTCACCTAGCTTGCTTTTTCCTCCCCCACCACAGCAACCACCACGCATTCAAAGCACCCCAAAATGCAAGCTTTCTGCACATCAAACCAGGGTTTAAAACGTATGTGTACAGAGAGTGATAGAGAATAATGGCAGGACCTCAGAACCCTTAAAAGCTTATTTAAGCAAAGCAAAACAAAAACAAAACAAAAAGCCTGTTTCAGAGCAGCTTTTGTCCATGAAGCACCAGCTAGTGTGAGTGAAGAATTCAGAAATATAATTGGTCTGCAGAAAAATGCTTTAAACAGGAGCAATTCTAAGTAGACCATGGGCCACCTGTAGAGCATTTAGAAATTTCTCTCTCATCCAACCCCTCCCCATAATACTTTAACCTTGGCCCTACATGCCTTTAGTCTGATTAACAAAGCTAGGAAAAGCTGGTTAAAAGGCTGTTCTCTTCCTCTGGATTCACTAACTGTTACAAGTCTCCCCCCCCTTTTTAAAAAAGCCTTACATTCTTTTAATTGAAGAACGTTTGAAGCTCCATGGTGGCAAATTGGTCTAACAAGAGAAACCGGGCAGTAGAAAGAATTCTCTAAAGAAAGAAATCCCCAAACCAGCTATACAAGACATTTACAGACAAGAGATCAAAGTTTGGTGGGTTTTTTTTTTTTTTCAAATGTCTCTAAAGGAGCTAAGATCCCTATAGAGTAAACCTTATTCATTTAGTTCTGTTTAAAAGGGATGCTCTGAGTTATTGGGATAGACAGGTAAAAAGTTCATCCCTTGTTGTAAAGCAGTCAGCTAATTCTACAACTTCCCACTTCAATCAATGAATGCTTGCATTGAGACGGGACGGAAGGACACACCTTCATTTCCCAGATCATTTGATGTCCATGGAAGATCATATGATCCCTATAAACACATCTACAGAACCCATAAATAAAAGCCCACAATTCCCAGCTTATTTTTTCATCATAAAACAACTTTTCTCAGCTTTGGCTTGTTAAACAGCAAGCGCAAACAAGCAATGGCAACCCATAGAAAGGATAACACACAATTCTCCCACACTGGCAGACATCACAATAAACTTGTGGGAGGGAAATGCTGTTGTACTGATTACTGCAGGATAAAGCAAGAGTTCCTGAACAAGATGACCCCCAAAGCTTTCACCCCAAATAAGCTCCATTCCCAATCAAGATGCTAACTGGGAATTCTAGCACATCCCACTATATTATGGAGAAACCATCCTAGTTTGCAGGTCCAGATTATAGGCAGCTCATCATGGAGAAAATGTGGCTGCTAAGAGTGACATTGACTTGATGGTAACTAATCAATTACCACTTACCACCACTTACAATTAACACCTTGAGAGCTGTAGTCCTTTGCTCTATGATATGATGTCATCAAAACCCATTGCTTTATAGCTTCTTCTGGACTCTGTTCAGTTACCAACAAAGGAGAATATTGGTAGCTCAATGTTGAAATGAGCACTAATGATGTAACCCAGTTTAGGTAATGGAACATCTGCAAGAAAATAACCAAGCTCACACAGCACCAAAGACCCGCTCTGTCCAGTTAATTTCAAAGGGGTCAAGAATTCTTGACTATGTATTTTTAGATTTCAGCAACCACCTTTTTCCAGCCAACATCACCAACAGCCAAGAATGTTGATAGCTGGACACTGATGATCATATTCTGAAAATGCTTCTGTTGATTCTACTGAGATATGTTAGCGCATTTATTTAAGCAGTATGGTAAGGGTACCTCAGTATTTCTTAAAAGTCAAGAATTAAGAATAACTAGGACAGCAACAAGGAGGCATTGCCCCTCCCAAACAAATCATTTGACATGATTTTATTGACAAAATAGAATACTCAAACTTTTGCTCTTAGGCAAGAGCAATGGTGGTAAGCCTCTAAATTTTTTTTCTTTAAACAAAAGAAATTTACAGACTGTATAGCATTTGGAATATATACATATTTTACATGTTTTGTACAAGGTACCAATAATTATATAAATACATCCTTTAACATAATAAACCCGTATTTACTGGGGGGTGTACAATTAAGACACGATTTGAGCACATGATTTTAAGGCATCTGCCAGTTTTTGTGGTTGTTGGCATTAAAAAAAAGGGGAGGGGGGAATTCTTGAGGGACTCCTCCACCCCTGCAGGTCAATTAGCAAGACATCCCTTCACATTGAATCAAGACTTTTGAGGGATGGGAGAGAAAGCAGAGAAGTCCTACTGGGCCAAAGGGCTTGTGCTGGCTGAAGACAAATAAGGCAATTCTTGTCTTCAGAAAATTCTTATACCAACAACACAGAAACATGCAGCTTCGACATGGAAGGATTGACTAACAAGGAATGGAGGAAGAGGCTGAGGACAATGAGCTGGCAACATCGGCCTCTGGAACTGTCCTGCTCCTAGGGAAGCTTCTTCTCAAAAGAGAGAGATGGGCAGCAGCATTCCTCTGTTCCAACTCCAGATTTTACACCTGGGATAAAGGCATTTGTTTGGGGTAGGAAACCGAACTGGCAGTGCCAGACCTCCAAGTCAAACCAGTGCTGACATCACTGTACATAGACCCCCCTCCACCCCCCAGTCCTCCCACAGCGGCAGCAGACCCTATGCCGGCACCTCCCCCCCTGGCTCCAATACTCCCCACCACGGCAACTGCGGTCCCTTTGCTGGCCCAGCAGCAGCGGGTGCAGAGTGCCTTCCAGGACTCCAGCGTCTTTCCAGACCAGACCCAAACTCCCGAGGTGATGCCAACCACCAGGCACATGAAGTACTTGAGCATAAAAACCGCATAATCTGGTCGGCGGGCTTGGTCAGGCTCTTGGTCCCGCAGGCAAGGACAGTTGTGAGTGGCTTCCCAATGGGGGCGATTATGCTGCTCGTAGAAAAGGCAAGCCACCACGCTGGCGGCAGGCACCGTGTAGAGCACCGTGAAAAGGCCCAGACGGATCATGAGCTTCTCCAGCTTGTGCGTCTTGGTGGGGCCCCCTTGCTGCTTGATGACACTCCGGATGCGGAAGAGCGAGACAAACCCAGCCAGCAGGAACATGGAGCCAATGGCCAGGTAGATGAGCAAAGGGGCCAGCACAAAGCCTCGCAGGTTCTCCAGGCTCTGATTGCCCACGTAGCAGATTCCAGCCACAGGATCTCCATCCACGGAACTGAGAGCCAGCACCGCAATGGACTTGATGCTGGGAAGTAACCAAGCCGCCAGGTGGAAGTACTGAGCGTAACTAGCAATGGCCTCGTTGCCCCATTTCATGCCTGCCGCCAGGAACCAGGTGAGGGACAGGATAACCCACCAGATGGAGCTGGCCATGCCAAAGAAGTAGACCAAAAGGAAGACGATGGTGCACAGAGCAGGGCCCGTACTCTCATACCGCACGTGCTCAGCCACCGCCAAGTCGGGTTGTAGCTCCGCAGCTCCGCCGGCAGCTCCGCGGCCGCCCACGGCTGCAGCGGCCGCCCCCGCAGCGCCTCCAGCGGGGCCCGCCGGACCTGCTCCCGCCGCCGCCGCAGCCGCCGCCGCTCCGCCGCTGCAAGCCACTTTTTCGTGGCCAGCGACCAAGCGCACCAAATAGCCCAGCGAGACGAAGAGGTAGCAGGCGGCCAGGAAGATGATGGGCCGCTCCGGATACTTGAAGCGCTCCATGTCGATGAGGAAGGTGGAGACGGTGGCGAAGGTGGAGATGAAACACAGGATGGACCACAGGCCGATCCAGAAGGCGGTGAACGCGCGCTCGTCCGGGCTGAAGTAAGGGTTGTGGCACGGCAAGGCGCAGTTGGCGATCTGGCCCGTCTTGACCCGGTTGTAAAGCGGATGGCGTTCGCTGGACACCGACACCATCGGCGCCCGGCACTGGCAGCCCGGCTCGCAGGGGGTTGGAGGACGGCTCTTGCGGAGTGGGGGATCCGCGGCGGACGGCGGAGGCACCACAGCCCCGGAGCCCCTGCCCGTCCCGCCTCCTACCGGCTTTCGGTGCGGCGGCTTGGGCTGCGGCTGCGGCGCGGCGGTGGCGAGGTCGGTGTGGTTGTAGTCCATACAAAGCATGTCTTGATTGCCTTGCTCGGGCAGGCGGTCGCAGCGCATGCGGTCCGGCCAGGCGAAGCCGTACTGGCGCATGAGGGGCGCGCAACCGGCCTTGGCCCGCTCGCACACGCTGCGGCAGGGCGGCAGCGGCTTCTTGTAGTTCTCCAGACAGATGGGCGTGTACATGCTGCACAGGAAAAAGCGCAGGTCCGCCGAACACTGGATCTCTACCAGGGGCCAGAACTGATGGACCTCCAGGCCCGCCTCGTCCTGCGTGTCGTGGTTGAACTGGTTGGGCATGTAAGTGTAGTTGTAGCCGATGCCTTTGCACAGAGGGACGGTGATGTCCTGGCAGGACAGCTCCTTGGCGGACGAAGAGCCGGCTGCTGCTGCCGCCGCTGCTGCCGCTGCAGCGGCGGCGGCGGCGGAGGCGCAGCTCGGTTGCCTTTGGAGCGGCGACCAGGCAGACAGGAAGAGCGGCAGAAAAGCGACGGTCAACAGGTAAGAGCGAGGCTCCATGCTCGGCGAAGTAAGTCCGCCCTCCGACCCGGGGGGGGGGTGACTGAACGAAGTGGCGTCGGCGTCGGCTCCAATTGCTCTGGGCTGCTAGGCTCCCGGCTTCCTGAAGCTCATATCTCTTTCTCTCCGCCGCCGAGCTGGGATGAGAGACGCGGCTCTTGCTGTGGCGGCTTCTTCGTCTCTGGCTGGGTCTTCTCAACTTTCCTGCAGCCGCGCGGTGTCAAAGATGGCTGAGAGACCCCCCTGAAGACGCAGCCCCTCGGTCGCTCCCGCCAGACCGGTTCGGAGAAAGCGCCCCGAGAAAGGCTCGGGCTGCCCTTCGAGGCGGGTTGTGGCGCGCTGGAGAAGCGATGCCACCTGAGAAGCTCGGTAAACGACAACAGCAGCGCCGCCGTCCCCACTCGACCAACTTCTAATTCTCTTCAGCTCCAGCAGCGGTGGATGCGCTCTCGGGCTATTTAAAGCAGAGTCAGTCAAGCCCCGCCCCGCCTGTCCCAGCTACCTATCACGAGGGCTCCGGGCGGAGATCCTGGACCCCGACTAAGCCCTTTCGCTTAAGGTGGATCGGTCTCGGCCTCAGGATTGGCCGCAAGCCGATAGCTTCTGGCCCTTTAAAATATTCACGGCGTGGTATGCGTGTCCGTGCGTGGCTTTTTTTGTGTGTTTTTGTTTTTTTTAACTCCTCAGGTGTAAATGGCTTACTTGACACTTAGGCAGGTAAGTTCTCAAATAAACGAATAAAGACGCATGGCATCTGGGCTCCTGAGAGTTAATTTAATCACTTAATTCTCCATTTTCTATGAAGACCTTTTGTAAAGTTTAACTTCACAGCCGTAACCTGGATGATTGACAATCTCCATAAACGTTTCTACGCATATCATTAAACCAAGCGCCCCCACTCTCCCCGCCCGTTTTCTCTTTTCCCTCCCTCCTCTATTTTCTTCCTGGGTATTTTGGATTTCTGACAGGCTGGATCAAAACGCACCAGAAAGCAGTTTTTATTTATTTATTAAATTGGGTTTTAAGGCTGCCTGACTCCAAGAAGACCATCTTACAATATTAATCTAAAAATGTTAACATATATACGCCGGCCTCCTACAAAGCCCCAAACAATTATGATTGGATGTTAGATGCGAGGCATATTGTTTTAATGACAACATTCCTCCCCCCCCCACTTTCCTTTCAAGTTACTCAGTGTCACTTTTTCTGGAAACTCTTTTGCACAGCCCCTCTTAATAGGGAGTTTCCCCTAAATTTCAGTCCAGCACACCGATTTTGGAAATTCCAAACATCTGGAAGGCAACAAGTTGGGGAAAAAACAAACAAACCATGATTTTAGTGCCAAGGGGGATTCCCCCATTTCCAGAACTGGAATTCAGAATAACTCAGTAAAAGCTGCTGTTCCATCTTTCTAGTCATAAATAATTTCACTAGGTTGCTCAGAAGTCACTTCGGAAACCTGGGCAAAAATCTGCATACGATAACTACATTAAATAAGGTAAATCTCATTTCTTATGTGATAGACATTTAGGTTCCCCAAAAGACCATGGGTGTTTAGTGCAGAGGTCTTCATATCTGAAATATGCTCATTGAAATCAGTGGGGTTTGAGGTAGTTATGAGAGGTCTTGTTGACTGGTATGTTTTAATAAGCTATGGTGTCTGATGGAAGTCTTGATAAAAATAAACAGACTAATTGTACTTGTCATAATATAATGCCATCAATCTCATCCCCCCCCCATGATAAGCTCATTAAGAAGGCGGCAATCCCATTTATCTGAATGGCACTTATCTCTACTTGGTTTAAAACCACAATTTACACAACAGCCTTCCTAAAAATCCACGAAATCTACAATATACAAGATTTAAGTCCCATCACCACAGTGGCTTTGCTGGTGAGAATGATAGAAGCTGAGATCAAGCACGCTGCATGTTCCTCCGGTTGTGATTCTCCTTCTACTCCCGAGAAGGCCTGTATACATCACACCATAAATGCACGAAGTAAGCTGCATTTTGTCTAGCTGCCAATTCTCCATCCATCTGCCCGGCTGGGTTTGAGCATGCGAAGATGGTTATGTAGTTCCAGTTGCTTCTCGTACAAATTTGTGGGTTGAGAAAAGGGCTTATTAAAATGTGAAATTAAAGTTGTGCTTTGCCTCCTCCAACTCCATGCTCTTGCTTCCAGTCTGGCTCTATAGTGAAATTTGCATCTGACAGCTGCCTCATCCAGTCAGGATGTAACTGGATCCTTCAGTCTGTTTTGGCGCTGACTTCATGGCCAGGATCTATAGTGTTCCTTTCTCCAGCTGTTGCTGCCAAAGGTTTTACTCCTAGTCTCAAGAGAGGGGGAGAAAGAACATGGGCACTTCAATAATTTTCTCCAACTTACTGCTCTCCCAAAGCAGGGGTTTCTAACCTTGACAACTATAAAATTTGTGGACTTCAAGTCATAAGTCTTAAAAAGTTGCCAAGGCTGGAGATGCCAAGGCTGAATTCTGGGACTTGGAGTCCAGAAGTCTTAAAAAGTTGCCAAGGTTGGAGATCTGTGTACCAATGCATTTAACTGCATCTGGGTTAAAAGGAGTTAACATTCTTCCCACCCAAAAGTTAAGTTGCGAAATCCATTCAAGCAAAAACAAATCTTCATCTGGTTTCAGATTTGGTATTTGGAAATGTGTAAATCTGCTCAGAATATGGCTGGATTCGACTCATTAAATTCGCTTCTTTTTGCGATAGTCGCCTAGTGAAATCCTAAAATAAACAGATTGAACAGATTATTAGCTGGAAGGATGATGAAATTTTAAATATGTGCATTATATTTATCAGTTACTAATCACATTTAATTGTAGGATGTGTGGGCATGTTTTGAGAAGAAGAGATGAGCAAGGATGTGTTAAAAAATTAGGGCCGACGAGCAGGGAGCAATTTTTTAAAAAAACCTGTTGCAGTTCTATATACATTATAAAACCAGCTAAACTCAGTGGGACTTAAAAGGCATAAAATTGCATTGTTAATACATCCATTTTCTGAAATTTTGGTTAAAGTAGCCAACCAAAGTTAAGTACATGATAACTATGGTTGGAACTAACAGGTTTACACAGAGCTTACAACAAGTCTATTTACAATGTTTACTTAAAGAAATACGCAATTCTATATGTAACGGCTCTTCAAAATGATAACGTATTCCATGCACTGATGAAAAATAATGGGTGCCCACTGGTCCTATGCAATGCATGCATTGACTTTATTTATGTAGCACATTGTATCCCAATTTGAAATAGATGTGCCTATGCCACACAACCACCACGTTGCAGGAAAGCAACCCACATTTTTATTCACAATGTTGTATCAAATCAATCATTCATGAGAGGGATGACAATTAATTCCAACAGGATTTGAATTACAATAGAAGAAAAGCAATGTGTGGTCTAGTGGTTAAGGAACTAAGGCTAGAAGTCAGGAGATTTTGAGTTCTTCTAATCCCCCTTAAGCATGAAAGCTGGCTGGGTGACTTTGGGCCAATGCCCAGGTCATGAATTCTAGTCCCACCTTAGCCATGGTAGCCAGCTGAGTGATGTTGGGCCAATCACCAAGAAACTATGGATTCTGGTCCCACGGTAGCCATGAAAGAAGGCTGGGTGACCTTGGGCCAATCACTTTCTTTCAGCTCAACTTCCCTCACAGGGTTGCTGTTGTGGGGAAAATAGGAGGAGAAAGGAGGAGTATTAGGTATGGTGGCCACCTTGAATTATTTATCAAAATAATAAAAGTAGAATAAGTAAATAAATAAATAAAAAGTAAGGGAATGTAAAGTAAAGCATGGTAAAGGAAGATTGACTTGTGGATCATGAGCTTCATTGCTTTAATGAAAGTTAAAGCTTCAAAGAATTAAACTTTTCCTTTATTTTTTTCTGTGTGAGAATTCAAGTCTTCGCTTCTCAAATTGGGAGAACTCCAGAGCCTTCCTGTTATATCACCTGGAGGTAAAGCCATCTTTTCTTCTGCTTGGACAACATAAACTACCAGGTAAGCAAAATATTAGGCACCTTGGATATAATCTGAGGAGTTAACATTGCCCTTTTCACAACCACATACAAGGAAGCAATTCAACATCTCCATTCTCATCTGTGCCAGACAAACTATTGCTTGTTTTACGTGATCCTGGTAATGCATTTCTTAAAGATGCTAAGCTCAGTAATGAGGATCTTGGTTGTCGTTTCCAATCAACACAGGAAGAAAACTGATCACACCAACTTTTGAGCCTTAATGTGGATTAGAGAGTTTAGCCAGTCTGGCAGATAGTTTGGTTTAGGTGTGTGTGTGAATTTTGAATTAAAGGTGACATGAAATCTAAGAGGTATGTTCTATTCCTATGGTTCACATGTATATTGAATTTTGCAGGGCTAAAAGGTGATTGCATATGCTATTGGACAAGCAAACTAACAAATTTGCCCTCAGACCAGATACGGAGTCTTAATATAATTGAGGAAAAATAGGAAATATACTTCAGGATTAATAAGAATATAGAAAGAATCCATCTTCGCTATCTTTGATCAGTACACATTTCTGGGAATGGACAAATTACAGCAAAAGACTTTTGAAGAATAAGGGGAAAATATTTGTAGCTCAGAGTTGAAATGAAGGGTCCTTGGTGGTCTCTGAGCCTGCTTGCTTTCTTGTAAACATTTCATTACCCAAACTAGGTAACATCATTAATGCTGGTCACCAGCACTGATGATGTTACCTTAGTTTGGGTAATGAAATGTCTGCAAGAAAACAGGCAAGCTCAGAGAACACCAAGGACCCCTCACTTTTGAAGAAGCTGGCTGAAGCCATCAGAGAAACTTTTGACTGTAATCTTCGAAAAATGAGTGTACTATCTATGAGAAATGATTCACTGCCCATCATCTGGAGAAAAATGAACACAGTCCCATATTAAAAAAATAGAGGAAACTACAAACAAGGTTAGTTTATACTGAGCAATTAACAGAAGGTGAAGCGGTAGGTCTGAAGGCACTCTGGAAAAAAAAAAGGCTTTCATTACTAGGTACAAGGTTAGTCAAAAGAAGGCTGCATTGGCCCAATTTTATTTATTTTTATTACAATCTGTTTATTTATTTGCTAAGATTTATATACCTTGCCTTTCTTTAAGGAGTTTAGAACATTCCCTCTTCTAGTTTTTTCCACAGCAACCATTCGGTGAAGCCAGGGGTGAAATCTACTTACCTTCTCTACCGGTTCGGAAGTGCGCACTCCACTCGCGTGTGCACGCATGTCACATGCAATTTTGGACCTCTGCACATGCACAAAGCCTTCTGCGCATGCGCAGAGAGTCAAAAACAGGTCACTTCCTGGTTAAAACCAGGAAGTAATAGCGTCCGGGCAGGTGGGCGGAGCTTCACGCTGTTGCCGCTACCGGTTCACCATGTGCTGCCGCCACTACCGGTTTGC